GATGAGCTGCCTAAAACAAAATTTCTCTTCTTATATTGATGTAGTTACAGCCTTCTATGCCTTTATCATTCTTATTTCTCTTCAAAATTACAGGTATGTTATCAAACTTTTTAACATATCTATCTGAGCTGCGAAGGCAGAGAAACTTTTTATGTCCCCTTCCCACCAAACTCAAGGTATCAGCCATCTTTTCCACAAGATGCACCAGCTTGAATACTCCGTACTCCGACATGTAGAGCGGCCTTCCGTAGCTCCTAAGATACTCCGATGGAACTCTAACGAGGGGCAAACTTCCGCCAGAGGTCTCTAGCAGCTTCACTAGCTGGCCCTTTAAGCCTTGAATATCACCTGGCTGTACCCAACTGGCTTGTGCCCTGCAGCTCTGATCCCTTGAAGAAGCTTCATTCATTCTAGAAGGTTGGCCTTGAAACTTTGAGGAGGAAAGGAATGCTGCAGGCATTGAATAATTAATATTGTATTCAGAGGACGTCTGGGATACCACAGACAGGTCCCTAGTGTTACTGGAATTGTAACTTCCTTTATAAACAATGGCTTCTTCTTCAATCTGAACATCATGGCAGTCATCAAAATTGTTACCCATAAGATAGCCGGAAAGCTCGGATCCCCGCGTTAAACCAGTTCTCGAAGAGACAAAACCTTCTCCATGGGCAATGCACGACCAGTCCCATACGTACCTGCCAGCACTGCACAAAGCGGATGAGACAAAAACTTTAGAAGGGATGACAAGAATCACCATGTAACCACGTTGTCCCAGTATATGCAAAGCAGGAGCGAAATCCACATCCCCGGAGATCAACATAATTGAAGAAGGTGGATGATTGTCGAGGGCAAGTAGGAATGTATCAACCAAAATAGCCTTGTGAGCAGCATCTTTTCTACCATTTGGCACATCGACAAGCTTAACGCCAGTCCTTTGGCATCCCTCTCTTAGCCTACGAGGAAAGGAATTGAAGTCCCCGTATGCGGAAAACATTGTCACAGCTCCTTTGATCAAAGGGTGTGCTCTCAATGCCAGACGAATGTTGCCAGCAACATCTTCAGGTCTAACATCGCTGGGAACTGGACAGTTTTCGATGTCCCAAAGAATGGCAACAGGCCCATGTAAATTCTCACCTTGTACTGCTGGCAAGGGAGTCGGTTCAATGGAAGAAGTGACAGACATGGCTCCACTGGGGCAAGTTATTTCGGGAATTTTTATATTTGGGGATGGGCTTCGACCAGACATGGCTTTATCCACATAAGACATGCAGAAACACTCACAAAGCCAAGTGACAAAGCCTGGAAATCACGAAAACAGGTTTTTTTTTTCAAAAAAAAGGGCTTAGAAGGTAGCAACAAGATCAAATATTTAACATCTCATCAAATAATCTGATAAACAATGGTTAAGGGGGGCATTAATCAGGAAGCTTAATTCTGTACAAGAAGGGCAATCATGTCTTTTTTCGCCAAACGCATTTTGCAGAAGAGAATTCAAATTTATAATAAGCATAACAAACTAATCAAACACGTATTCCTACAAAACATTAGGAGCTACTATATAATATCTCCTTCTTATCCTTCTGTATCTTACAGGGCTGCCTTATTATCAATTCTAGGCTATCAAAGTTTCATAAAACTCGGGAGATCAACAGCTTATAATCTTCTGTCTAGGAGATCATTGTCAAATTTCACATAAAAAATTTATATATGCCGCAATACATCTTTTTTCTGAAAATGCACTTTCCTATCTATGAAAGCTTCCTTCTGATGAATACAGTTAACTTAGGTTGCCATCTTTGTCTAATGAGTATCTTTGAAAGTATGAACTTGAAGAGTAGCCTCATTGACTGTCTTAAGCCATGAATCTCTTTTGTGCAAAGCATGTAGTCTTGTCCACATGGTAACACGCAGGCGCAGCGACATTGAGAATAAGGATCGATATCTCTACGTAACGTGCCGCTTAACAGGTTTGGGGTTTACCGGAGTAATGTTCCCAGAAAATCTGGAGGACCTACGATCTTTTTTGTCAAAGAAAAACAAATTTAAAAAAACTCGATTCAACTTTGATGAATTGTAAGGTATGAAAATATAAAAGAATTATGCAAGAAACACCCAGCAAAAGGTAGCTACACTATTAGTTGTGCCAAACTTGAAAAAACAAGTTAAAAGGTGGAAGCATATTCTGAATGGAAGGCATTGAGTAGAGAAAATGGTCTCAGACACATTCGAAAAAGGAAAAATGCGCAATAGCCGTTGAATATATAGATTTCGTAAGACATACGCATATCCCTCCATTTGTGTCAAAGTATGTTTAACCTCATAATCTTGATGTTCAGACCAATTGTTAAATTGTTTTGGATGTGTATATTAGAGGGAAACCCATTTAATATCTTATGGACTAAATATTTGGACCTGTGTCGGCATGCACGAGAGTTAAGAAGAAAATTGAACAAAAAGGAAAAATATAACCAAGTATGAGGATATAAAATCATCCCTCGCTAATATAATACTTTCCAATACTAGCGAAGTAGCTGATAGATTATATGAAAACACCCCAGCTTGAATGAAGCTTACATATTTGTTTACACTTTCTTACAAAAGTGAGAACAAGAAGGTGACCACAACTTTGATAACGATATACCCTATTCATTCTGAACAAGAAACTAAATTAACAAGTTCTATGAAATCACATTTCTATGAAATGACGAACAACTTCAACATATTTAGTTCGTTCGTAAAAAGATAAAATTATTGGCAATTTAACTGCAATATAATTATCACAATATAGTGTAATAGGAACTGCAATATATTTATCACAATATAGTGTAATAGGCTAAGTAAAGGTTATAGAAGAATTTTTATTCACATATTTTCACACGCAAAGTGAGTTGTAGCTTTCTATTCAGCTTCAGCATTAATTAGCCACAATTTGTTTATTAACTTTTTTGGTGATCAGATTGTAATAACCAAAATAATAATAATAAACTAATTCAAATTGACTTCATCGATTGGACAGACTTATAATAATAATTATAGACTAATTTGAATTGACTACATCGATTCGACATGACCGACAAGACGGTCGCATCAATTAGGAGACGAAGAGAGGTTAGCGAGATGTGAACATACAAATGGGTAATAAGAGGCGATCAATTTGATTTTGAGTAAGGTGTCATGGTGCGTTCGTGTGAGGGAGACGAGCGATAATGTGCAGAGATGAGCAATCAGAGAATACATAAGTCGATCTAGTGACGTGAAGTGTGTACGAGCTGAGCATTGAGTATGGAAGACAATCGACGTGAGCCAACTGACGTGCACGAACCAAAGCAGACGAAGGTGTGGGTTGAGCAGCAGCCAGCATTGTTTGAGGTTTCAAATAAGACTAATATGAAGACTAATCTCAATTAAGACTACAATTTTTATCAAACCAAGTTTGCAGATCGAATTAAAGTTCATAAATAGCCTTAATAAATAGGCAAATAAAAATCTTCCTCCAATCAACATGCGCTAAAGGTTACTGCATATAAAATGCCTCTTATAGATCACTATTAATGAAGACAATACTCACATCCATTTATAACATAATCCATTATTGAATGATGGCCACAAAATATTGATGGAGTTAATTCAGACAACTAGGGACGTGGTGTAAAAATAGTATATCTTATATACCAAGGTAAATCCTCTAGCAATAAATCAAGCTTTGCAGAGACTGATCAAGACATCAGTATGAACGACGAACAATGGTTTGACCATAGGAAGAATAAACAATCAAATCCTGTGAAATATGAAAGAGAAGAAAAACCATTTTAAGTGTGTTTCCAGATTCTATAGACATTTTGGTAAGTCCTGAGAAAATATGCATATAATAATAACAAAGCAAATATATGGAATAAAGTTGATAAATTATCAAATGACATATATGAGTGAATGGGATCAATAAGACATCGTCTTTAATCTTTCATTAAAAAGATTGGTAAAAGTAGATAAGAATGCTAATCAACAGGTGAATGTGCAATTGAAGCTAAAAATCTGGTGGAAGGTCTTGTCGTGGAGGGAGATAGAGGAGCTTACAAAAATAGAGGAACGGTCACTGAGGATGACTCAAAAGTGTATGAAGAATAAAATAAAAGTGTGGCCTTATAAAAATGGGATCGTAGCATCGAAAACCTTTTTGAGGTGTGAGAATATTAAAAAAATACATCGAATAACACAAGATGAGTGTCAAGCAAACGCAATGTAAAAACAAAATAAATAAAAATAAAAAATATTTATTAAATGGGGGAAACAACTTGACCTTCATAAAGAGTGGAGATGGATGAGATGTTGTCGAGAATAGAAGGGATTGTATTTTGTCAAAATAACATTTCCCCAAAATTGACAACGGACATTCATATGAAGCATTAAAATCCTCATAACATCAAGAAAGTGGTGGCCTTTACACTCAACAAAACCATTATGTTAAGATGTGTAGAAGGTATGAACTCTGATGAATAATACCATTAGCAAACCAGAAAGTGTGAAACTAAGATTGGATGAATTTGAAAGTATTATTAATGAATAAAGTTTGATTAAGATGGAAAATTGATGCTATATTTTTTTATAGAAATTTTGAAATACATGAGTAATCTATAAGCAAATATTTGAATAAGTAAAGCAAAGTAACATCCAAAAAATCATCAATGAATGTGATAAAGTAGAATAATCCTCTATGAGTAAAGATAGTATTAGGAACTTAAATGTTTAGGTGAACTAAATCAAAGGAAAGAGAAAGATAACTAGCTATCCAAGATGGAAAGGACAAACGATGGTGTTTACCAAACTTGTAGGATGACAATCGAATATGAGCAAAGATGATGAAAAAAAGACAATCTCAAAACCTCCACCAATATTGTTAGTGAAAGAAATACCTATGAAGAAGAGGGAACAAAAAACATTTGTCATTTGGTAGTATACTCCACTAGCTTCAAAACCTCCACCAATCAACTTCTTTGAGCTTACATCATAAAAGGCATAATGAGAGATAGAAAGAAGATTGCGTAATAAAAACGAGTCTTTATAGGCCATGAATGTACAAGACACATAAATATCTAAGAGAGAAACAATTCAAAAGGGATTCACAATGCTTTTCCATAGATAGTGGAATGGGAACCATCAACTGCAAACAAAAAGAAAAAAAAACAAGTAGTGTGAATATAAATAAAGAGTTTGTGGTTACCGGTAAAGACAATTCCATGCCTGCAATGGATCTAGAGGAAGAGAAATCACGAGTTGCTGCCATTATTGAAGGATTCACATAGCTTTATTGAGAGAAATTGATCTCAATGATGGGGCAACAAAAGAAGTAAATAATTTTAGATTGGTTGTAGAAGTATGTTGAACAATGGAAAGATAACAAGAGTTCTCCCAACAGCATTCTAGAGGCTAGCTAGTGTGGCTGCAATGA